GGGGGCGAGTGGGATTTGTGCTGGGCTGGACTGTGAGCCGGGCCGCTGACGCCTTAATCACAAGCCCCAGTCTCTGCTCTTGCTACGACGGGTGGTGAGGTTGCAGATGGCAGCGCCGCGGGATCACCTGCCGCTCGCCCAGCCTCGCTGCCCGAGTGATCAGCCCGCCCTACCTGCAGTCGCCCGTGTGCAGGATGACGTGCACCCCTCCGCCCCCGCCGCCTGCGGCCGCGGCGCCGCGCCGCGGCACCTCAAACAGCAGCATGACCGCGCCCGGGCAGTGGTTGGCCGGCAGCGCCGTGACGCCGACGCCGTCGACCACCAGCCGCTCGCACATGGGCAGCCGCACGAGCTGGCAGGCGCCGGGGCCGGCCACCTTGAGGCGGTAGTCGTGGATCAGCAGGTCAGCCGTGATGTCTGAGCAGAAGATGGTGGACGGGAAGGTGCGGGGCAGGCCTGGGGGAGGGGGGCGGGGCCGGGAAGTGCGGAGGAGGGTGGCCGGGTTGAGAACAATTTGGAGGGAAGGGGGGAGGTGAGAAACAATGTGGCACAGCAGGGTGCGGACTGGGTGACAGGGATGGTTGAAGGGACCAGGTCAGCAGCAGCGAGCGTCGAGGGGGCGGGCCGAAACCTGTGCCGGCGCGGCGCGCGGGTGAGCCAGGCACAGGTACGGCAGGCGCATGTCCTGCCTGCGTGGAGGCGGGCGTGAGAGCATATGCGCGCGCTCGCGCGCCGTCCTGCCTGTGTAGTGGTCCCCGTGGAAGTGGGTGAGGAAGTGGCGCACATGGGGCTCGCGGGCCGGATTGGCGAAGCGGAAGCCGTCCACCATGAAGGGCGTGCCTTTGGAGGGGGGCCAACAGCGAGGGCAGGAGCGGGCCATTTCAATCAACGGGCAGAGGATGAGCCGAGTGGAGCGCAGGGCGCCGCACTGCGCGGGGCCGAAGGGGGACCCTGCAACTTGAGGGCTACCTATCCAGCCACAGGATGACACCAGTACGTGCCCTTCGGGGCGCTTTTCGTGCCGCCCCATCGCGCGCCTCAAGCCGGCCTGGCAGGCTCCCGCCCGGCCCACCTGGGATGCGCTTGATGGACTCAACCTGGGAGGCCATGCCGCCCCACAAGCTGCACGGCGGCCCTGCGTAGACGCGGCTATCTGAATCTACGCCTGTCTAAACGTTTACACACCGCCGCGGGCTGAGCTCGGCCCGCGCTGCCTTGCCCAACCAACGTTGGGTAGCAACGCAGGGCCTGCGCCTGCGCCTGCGCCTGCGCCGCCGCAGCCCACCGGCGCTGCCTACCAGCCTCACTGCGCGTCAGAGTCCGAGTGGGGCTCGCTGGCGGAGCCGCTGGCGCCAGAGCCCGACACGCTGCCGCCTGCTGGCGGGGTGCGCGTGGAGGGGGCCCGGGCGGGGCGAGAGGCGCGAGGTCGGTGTGTGGGGGAGGGCAAGTCTTATGACCGACAGGCTCAGGCTGCAGCTCAACGCAATACAAGGGCGAGCCCAGGCGCCTTGGGAGCGCCGTTGGGGCGAACTCGTAGCGACAAGTGCCAGGTGTGGGTGTGAAATTGTGGGTTTGGTAATCGGGTGTGGGGGCTTGGGGTGTGGTGGGGGGGGGGGCGGCGCAGGGGCGCGGTGGTGCTCACCCTCCTCGGGCTCGTCCTGCACCGGCCGCGGCGCAGGCTCTGTCTGGCCGACCACGGGCGTGTCCCTCAGGTGATCCCGGACGCCCGCCGCCTGCGGTGGCGCATCAGGGCAGGGGGCAGACAGAGGGCAGGCCAAAGATCAGGCGCGTTGCACGTGTGGCGACGTCCTGGGTGGAGAGCTTTGCTGCCTCGCGGCACTCACTGCGGCTGAAGTTGGCCTGCTGCATTTGATCGATGTGCTGCACACACATCGCAGGGGAGCCTGGCGCCCCTGCAATCGGGTCAGGTTGCCGTGCCCGAACCGGTGCGGCCCAGCCTGTCGTCACCTTGAGCTCTATCTGGTGCTCCAGCTGCGCAAGCGCGAGCGCGGGGTCGGGCACCTCGGCTGCCTGCAGCGCCGCGATGTCGGCCGGCGCGAGGTCCGGCAACAGCAGCATGGGAAGGGGCGTGTCGTCGGCGGGCTCTGCTCAGCACGAGCAAAGCACGCGTGGCAGCGGCGTACAACGCCTGCCGTCGGTAGACGTCGTCACGGAGCAGCGAATGAGGTGTTTTAAGGTCACCGCACGATGTGTTCCTTCCCACGCCCAGATCGACAAAAGCGCGGAGCACATAGACAAACGATGTGAAGGCCTATCACTGCGCAAAGTGTCTTTGCTGCGCCTCACGCAGCCCCAAAGGCACGCGATGACGGGTGGGTGCAGCGCTCTGTGAGCGGGTTCCCTGTCGATACTCACCCCCTGCGCGTTCCGCCCCTAATACAATTGTTTCCGTGAGGTTTTTTGGAAACTCATCGACTTCATCATTGATTGAAATCAAGGCGGGCGCATCGCAGCGGGGGCGCGGGCTCCTCGAAGGTGGGTCGCGATGCGTGGTCAGCTGTCTGGGACCTGAACTGTAATACCTATTCAAAGGCTGGCCAGGCGGTCCAGAGCCCGCAAGAGGCAGCCGAGCTCACTCGAGTGCGTCGCCCGGCCTCTGGAGAACAGTCCTGCCCCGGGGGCTGGTCAAATGCCGGTGTGGTGTCCCGTGGTAGCCCGCCCCGCGCGCGCGGACGCCAGCAGGTCCCCGCGCCACGTCGGCGCTGCCCCAAACCCCCAGAATCCGCTGTCGTGCCGCTCCACACCTCACAGGCATCCAGCTGCTGCGCGCGCCTGTGTGGCAAGCGCTTCTTTTTCAACGCGTCGGGGCCCTTACAGCGGTGCGGCTTCCCCTGCATAAGAGCAAGCGGCCGCCGTGCCACGCCGGCCGCCGCAGCGGACCGCTGCGCCTCGAAACCACCGGTCGGCGGTCGCGCGCCTACACGACGCGCGTGCGCACGAAAGTGCGCCGCGATGCGCCATCACGTGCATTTGGTGGGCGAGATCAAGGGCACATGGAAGCCGGAGGAAGATGAGGCCCTACGCAGGTGAGCAGCCCGCCTGACCGGACACAGACGCGCCACGGCCTGATTGCTGCAACGCCTCCTCACAGTTGAGGCCACGGCCGGCGACCCACATACTCTGTCGCCGCCGCGCCGGCGGCGCGCTGCGTGCGCCCCAACCCTGCACCTATGCGACTGCGCAGCCGGCCTGTGTGGCTGCTGTGTCATGGTGACAGCGCTGCTCTCGAGCGCGCTGCAGGCACAAACCTCGCGGGGTTCTCCCGCTGCGCTCCTCCCCCCTTGCCCTGCCATACACCAGGGCCGTGGACCGCGCGGGCGACAAGAACTGGATGGCCGTGGCGCGCGAGGTCAACATGGCGCTGGCCTACGAGGGCGGCGGCCGCACCGCCAAGCAGTGCCGCGGCCGCTACATGCACCACCTGAAGCCCGGCCTCAAGCGCGGCCCCTGGACCTGGGAGGAGGAGGAGACGCTGGTGCGCAGCCACCAGCTGCTGGGCAACTCCTGGTCCAAGGTGAGGGCGCGGACGGGGCCTTCTGCCCTCGCAGCTGCCCGCAGCCCAGCGACACCTGCCGACCGGCCAGCCGCCCAGCAGCCGCCCTCGGCATTGCGGAGCTCGCGTCCTCCTGCCGCAGTCCCTCGGAGTGCCGTTCCGCCGCGGCCCCGCGAGGTGCCGCTCCCCCCTCAACCTCCTCGCCCAACCACACACACGCGCGCTGTATCCGTCAGATCGCCAAGTACCTACCGGGCCGCACCGAGACTGACATCAAGAACCACTGGTGCGCCTGCCCGACAGCTGCCGCAGGACCGTCCACTGGACGAGCACGCCCCCCCTGGGCTGCCCCTGCCTGCCTGCTCTTGAATCTGCCTGCGACCCCAGATCGAACGCTGCTCCCGGCTTGATCAGGCGGCGTCGCCACTTTCCAGCCGCAACGTCTGCTCTCCCTGTCTTCACCCTCCCTCTCCCCCATCTTCCGTCCCCGCCACCCAGGAACTGCACCCTGCGCAAGAAGATGCCGTGGGACGACGTCCACCGCAGCCCCCTGCAGCGCTACCAGCTCGCCCACGGCCTCTCCACCGGCCGCGCCGCCATGGCGCGCGTCCCCGGCGGCCCCTCCCCCCCGCGCCTCGGCGGCCACGGCGGCTACGACGACGGCGACGAGGGCGAGGACGACGTCGCGGCCGCGGGCATGGGTGACGGCAGCGGCGGCGGCGGCGTGCCGTTCGCGGCCTACCCGCCGGACGTGCTGGTGGCCGCGCAGGACGCCGCGGCCGAGCTGCTGGAGTCGGACGCCGGCCGCACGATGACGCCAGACGTGGCGGCCGCGGTGCTGGCGAGCCGCGGGCACCCGTTTGACGTCGCGTTCACGGCGGTGCTGCTGCAGCTGCAGCACTCGGTCGAGGCGGCCGCCGCGGCCAGCCTGGACGCGGCCGCGGAGGTGCAGGCCGACGGCGGCCCCGACGGGGAAGAGGGCGGCGCCGGCGCCGGCGGCGGCGCGGAGGTTGGCGCGGACGACGACGGCCGCGCCGCCGCGGGCCACCAGCTCGCGTTGAAGGCGGACAGCGACGCCGGCCACGCCCTGGAACCCGGCGGCGACGGACACGGCGGCAGCCAGGGCGACGGCGGCGGCGGTGGCTCGCTCGCCGCGGCGGTCGCCGCGCTCGCCGGGCTCGCCGCGCACCGCGACCCGGCCGCGCCTTCGCCGCCGCCGCCGCTGCCGTTGGCAGGCCCCTCCGTCCTTGCGGCCCCGCTCGCGCCGGTGCCCTCCAGCGGCAGCGGCGGCCTGCCGCTCCTGCTGACCGCGGCGCCGGCGCCGCCGGCCGCCCTGCCGCTGGTCGCGGCGCTGGCGTCGGAGGGCTCGCCCAGGGACGTCCTGCGGCGCGTGGCGGCCGTGCTGACCGCGCTCGCCGACGGCGCGGAGGCGCGCGCAAACGGCGGCACGGGGGTTGCGGTCGACGCTGCAGACGCTGACGTGGCGCTGGAGTACCTGAGGGAGCGGCTGGGGCTGGGGCAGGCTGGCTCTGGGTGCGACGCCGAGATGCAGCCCGGCCTGCCCAGCGTCACGCAGGCGGCGACGCCGTCGCTGCCGCCGCCCGCGCTGCCGCTGCCGCGGGCGCTGCAGCGGCAGAAGCGCGCCGCCGACGAGGGCGTGCCCGCGCCAGCGGCCAAGCGCGCGGCGCTGGGCGGCGCTGGCGCCGCCAACGGCATGTTTGTGGCGGAGGCCCCCACGGTGCCGCGCGCCGCAATGGCGCAGTTGGTTGCGCCGCCGCTGCTGCCCCAGCTGGTGCCCCTGGGCAGCTTCACGGCGTCCGCCTCAGGCGCGCTGCCCCTGCCCGTGGTCGCGCCGCGACCCGAGCCGGCCGCGGCGGCGGCCGACGCTGCTGCGGCTGCGGCCGCTGCGGTGAGCGGCGCGGAGATCCGCGCCGCGATGGCCGCGGCGATGGCGGGCGGCGACAGCGATGAGGAAGATGAGGAGGAGGGTGACGATGAGGAGGAAGACGAGCAGGAGGGGGACGGAGGTGCAGAGTGCGCGGGGGACAGCAAGGGCGGCGTCGACGCCGCAGCCGGTAGCTCCGGGGCGAGCAGCAGCGGGGCTGCGCCTCACTCTGAGGGTTGAGGGGCAGGGGGAGAGGGTCGCGTGTGCCTGCTTTGCCGGGCACTTGGCGTGACGACTCGCGCATGCGGCGTGCGGGGCGGCGTCCCAGAGCGAAACGACTTGTGTATATTTTTTCCCGTTTGAGGCGCAAACGCGCTGTCCCTCTCATGCCTTACTACTACGATGCTTTCCCGGCCGGCTCCCTTGCTCAACTCTGACCACCACCCAACGCGCGGCGCCTCGGCGCGATCGCGTGGCTGCACGCGCCCACCCGCGTAAGCTTGGCGCCTCGAATGGCTGCCCAAAATGTCGCTCTTTTCAAAACGACGAGCCTCGCTTTCAATGCCGTGCAACCATCCCTGCCCGACGGAAATGACCCTGCGCACACGGCACGCCGCCGTGCTTGCATTCTCATGGTGCTGCGTGGTGTTTGATGTCATACCGCACCATCCCAGCACTCATCACCCCAACCTTTGTCGCTGTAAGCATCATTTTCTGGCATGAGCTCTGCGTACGGTGTGGCGCTGTGGAAACGACCGCGTATGGGTGCCGGCATGTGCTGGTCATGGTGTGGGCAGGGTGTCGAGGCATTGTTGACAAGCGCCTAGGCCCACATTTGCCCAGTGCGTCGGCAGTAACAAAATGTCGCGGGCACATGCAAGGCCGGAATCGTAAATCCAGGGATGCACACCCCTGCAACGTGCAGGATGTCTCAGGTCAGGTGCTGGTCTGGCTGTGTTGCTTTTCAAACCAGCACCAGACGTACGAACCGCTCACAGACGTGCTCACAATGGAAAATTACACATTGGGACATAGCACATGGCAAACACTGACATCGCTGAGTGGGCTGCAAGCCGTCGTTGGCCAGCCAAACGTGCCAGTGTCCCAGGAAGTGACTTGGAACGCCTCTCCAGAACCCTTTCCAAACTACCCCTCGTGTTGACTTTGCATCATCCACTGGCCGGAGCAGACCAGCACTTTTTGGGTGGCCGTACTCGAGGTCGTACGCTCGGCCACCCGCCTTCGCAGGTACCTGCCGCGGTGTGTGGTCGCGCCGGGTCATACAATAGTCAAGGGCCATCAGAAGTATCAAACGACGCTGTCGTTCGCCTTGGTCTGCGCTGCAATATTGCGACTGCATTGCCGACCGCTGCAGCACCTACGACACGTTTATCATCATACTTGACAGTCTTTTCTACATTATCACTGCCAAAATCGGTCCCGGGGCGCATGAAGTGGAAGAGCGCGTAGTGGGGGGTCACGGCCAGTGCTATCTCTTCGCTTTGAGCTCCTCCGTCGGGGAGGCCAGTATGTCTTACGAGCTGCTACGAAAGGCTGCCAATCCGGCGAGCGGCTGTCACTTTGCCGCTCCTGTGGACTTGGACACCGACAACAGTGCAGCGCTGCGACCCAAAGATGGCGCACGGCCCAATCGGGTGCTGCGCACAGGCGTTCAGGGCGCGACAGGCATAATATTCGATGCCATGTGCGCTTGCGACGCGCTGCTCGGCTTTGGCGGCAGTGCACAGGGGGATATGGACAGCGCCGGTTGCTTGCCGCCCAAAACCATCGACAGCAGCGACAGCGACAGCGCCGCCAGCAGCCTGGGCGGTGGCAGCAGCACAGAAGATGTTGACCCCGGCGCCGCTGCGTCAAGCTGGTGGAGCACGCCCTCGTTCTATCCCCAGCAGCCACGCCAGCAGGCGCCGACGCGGACCGGCATGGGCGGCCTGGTCAGTGCGCTGCCCCAAGCAGGGAGGCGCGCCCTGAAACGCTTGCGGTCACTCATGTCTCGGGCTGAGGATTGGGCGGAGGGGGACATGCTGCCGCGCACCATGCGGCAGGCGGACAGCATGGCGCTCAGCGCACGCAGCCGCGCCGACGCCTTTGACGACATACACCCTATACACGGTGGGTTGTGTGGGCTTGGGTACCGCTGCGTTCCCAGCGGCGCTTTGTGCTTTTCCATCACGAATGAGTGCAGTACAATCCAGTGGCTCCACCCCGGCAAGGTCACCAAGCAACTGCATGGGCTGGCCAGGGGGTTGGGCATGTTGGGCGAATTTGGCAGGCGGCTGCCAGCCAACTCACCCCCCCCCCTTGCCCTGGCCTGTGGTCGTCCCCCACGTCTGCAGGGTGCTAGCAAGGCGCAAGGAGACAGGGTGGCGGCAGCGAGGTCGAGTGCCAACATCCCGGGCCTCAGCTTTAGAGGTGCCGCAACCGGCATATGCAGCCGGGAACATCAATTCCACACCGTTCGCCCTCGTGACCAGCACACGGGACCTGGGGCGTGTCAACTCAATCCATACCATTGCTTCCAGGAGGCGCATTATACACAACGACCGATGCTGGGTCTCTTGTTACTGCATCGCTTATTCAGTGTGCTGCACCTTGTCTGATTGCTCAGCCTGCATTGGCCACAGCCTCACCATCACCTGCACCCCGATGCCTTGGGTGCTTCGCCCAAGCCGTGGCCACACACGAAACGTGTGTGCATGCACGCTGGATCCACACATTTGCACACAGTCCAACATGCATGTCAGCGCGTCCAGCAATACATCACTGCCTCATTCATGCTTTTGAGGGGTTCATTCTTGAACAGCCAAACCGTTTGGTTGCAACTTGGAGGGTTTGCATACTATCAAAGCTTGCTTTCATCTCAGCACACGTGTAATTGTCCTGCACTCTACTCACTCGTCTTGCAAATGTTGGAGCAACGCGACTCAGCGACGGGTTGGTTGCACTCACGCAGGGGCAGGGCCACGGGCTGCTTGGAAGCAGGGGACATAGTTGAAGACGGCAGTTGTTTGAGCTTATGCCGCATGTTACCGAGCTGAACAGGGACATAAATCAACGTAGCATAAGCCTACTGTACCCGGAACTTTTGGTGGGGCGTTGCTCAGCTCGAGCTGCACCGGCGGTGCCGCTGCGGCATGTCGCCGTTGTACGTACCTGTCACGCCCTGGTCACGGCTGCAATTGCCAACAGCGTGGCGACCCCGGGGTGTTACTTATCAGGCTGCCGATAACACAGTGCAAACGTGACTCATAAAACATTTGCAAGGTTCAAACTGCGTCCCACTCCGACACGCGCTTCAAGTCTTTCTTTGATCTCGGCAGCCCGGCGTCGTGAACCAGTTATCAATCAAGAGTGTATGTACTGAATTAGAGTGGTGCTGCAGCAAGCTACTAGAGCCATACCCTTGCAGCTGTGCCTCGGCCGTCGCCGCTGTGCGCCGCTGTTGCTGCTCTGCCTGCGCGAACGCCGCCGCTGAGCAACGATGGGGCGGCTGATACATATCGTCAAGGTGCGACAGCGTGGCATCGTATGTTATGAGAACACAACCTCCATAACAACCTGCAACCCTGCCGTCCAGCGTCACAACCGCCACTCTTGCGGGCCGTCCGCGCCCCCGCCCCCCTGCGCCCCTGCAACCCGCAGACGGCGGCGCTCGCCGGCGCCGCCGCGACCCTGGGCGGCGCCGCCTGGTACAGCACCCTCGACGTGCAGCGGCGCTTCGAGGTGGCCAGCGCGACGGGGCCCCTGCTGCGCATGTTGGACCCCGAGACATCCCACAAGGCGGGCATCCTGGCGGCGCGGCTGGGCCTCTTCCCCCGAGAGACGCGGCCAGACCCTGAGTCCCTGCGCGTCAGCCTGTGGGGCCGCACCTTTAGCAATCCCATCGGTGAGCGCGGTGGCGGCGGCGGCGGCGGCGGCGGCGGCGGCGGCGGCGGCGGTGGAGGGGGCGGCGG